TGATCATAAGGGATCAATTCTAACATTATAATCCAAAATACTTCCTGTTCAATCAATCTAGGTCTACTCATATTTAGATGATCCTACTATGATCAATTAGTATTCATGATAATTGAAATAAGAAGATCACATTAGAACCTTCAGCATTACCTCTATTGGCATAAACCACAAATATTATCTTCATCAACTTAGATTAGGGTTAATCAAGGAATTCACATCAAAACATCATATATTCATCATACATACATAATTTAAACATAATTGAATGCTATCAACTACTTTGGAATCACAATCAAGCCCTACCCACAATGTAATCATAACCCTGGCTAGATTGGGGTATTTTGTATTCACAATTGAGGGATATATATGGGGGATCATGGATTGAAGAACACATAAATGAAGGAGATTCACATACCTTTATTCAAAGCCTTAAACTAAGCTTGACGCCTTGGCAAATTCTACCTAGTTACTGTCTCCCTTCTTCTCTTCTTCTTCAATTCTAGAGAGGGAAATTTGGAGAGATTTTTGGGGTCTTTAGGTGAGTTAGTTAGAATGGATAGTTTAGGGTTAAGCTAGGCTTATATAGGTGGATAAATAACATATTAACCTACCCACATTGACCCCTAAATAATAACTAAACCTATCCCTAACTCCTAACCTAAAACTAAAAGCTTAAAACTGGGCAGACTTAGGAAAGAGGAACCTACGGGCCGTAGGTGGCCTCCGTGGTTTGTGTCTGAGGGTCAAAAACTTCAGGTACCTGAATTACTAACCTATGCACATGACCTACGGGGAGTAGGTGGACTTACTGAGCATAAGTCTAGGCCGTAAGTCACCCATTTTCACAGTTTTGGGGACTATTTTTGGGGTCCCCTTCAAGGATCCATTGGGTGGTCGTTGGGAGGTTGTATCCAGACATTTAACCCCTAATTATATCCTTCTAAGTGTATTACACATTTACCTTGAATTTAACCTTCATATTACACTCTAAAAGTCCACTACTAGACCCTTAAGCACACTAGTTCATCTAGCTAGTTCAACTTATCAATATCTGGACGTCATGGTCGTTTCTTGACATTTTACTTCTAAAATCACCAAACTAACTTAAATAGACATTTTTCATCGTTTAAACATGTTTCCAACTATAAACTAACATGTGAGGCTCTAAATTTACCTACTTAGCTCCATTAAACTCTAGCTTGTTATTACTAGAACTCCTGGAGTATTACATTATCCCCCACTTAGGAACATTCGTCCTTGAATGACACTTTAAAAGTTTTATAAAGACTAAAATCTAACTTAGCAGCCCATTATGCACTACTTACATCTAATGCACATAATCAAGGAAGAAAAAACTCAATTCCAAGCTAAACTTATTTAATGTCCTGCAAGGGAGTCAGAACTACTTCTACCAACCCAAAAATGAATCAAATTCAATATTTACTCATTCTCAAGGAAGAACTAACATCTCCTAGCTAAAACATGCTCAATAAATAGACTTGGAGACTAAAATTCAAACCATTCTAAAAATGCACTTATTCTAAAAATATTTGTTTTTCATGAAAATATTTTCTAATAAAACATTTTCCTTCATGCCAAACACGCCCTAAAGCATGAAATTAAATCCTCATCAACAAGATGAAAGTTTGGATAAATTAATCAACTAACGTGTTAAAGATTTCTGGCAATTTATTATACTTTAAACTATATTTTATTTAAAAGAAAAATTACATAAATATGATATATATTAATAAAAGATTTACCATTTATAGTAATAATATTTTTTTTAGTTGGACATCCATAATCTATTTATAATATGGTTTTAATACAAATCACAGAGAATAATTTATAAAATACATATGATACAAGTTTTATTGATAAATAATACATTTATCTCACATTTTAATACACTTATAATAACATTGTGTTAATTTCTTAGCAAACAAGCATAATATATTTTAAAACAGTTACAATACATCTATATTGAGAAAATGACATAAATAGTCCTTTAATTATAGGAGTAGCTCTAAAAAGGTCCCTTAACTATACACTAAACAGATTAAGTCCTTTAACTATTTTAAAACTTGTCAACTTTAGTCCCTTAACTATACACTTACCGGTTTTAGTCTCTTAACTATAAACTTATCAATTTTAGTCCTTTAAGTATTCAAAAACTTATCAGGTTTCGTCTTTGTCCATTTTTTTAATACAAATATCTTAGATTTTTATCAATCAAAATCTTCGTACAATTAAATCTCTAACCCATTTTTTAAGTTGTTTCTCTATTAAGTCCTTTTTTTCAAATTATTTTTAATAAAGAACAATAACGTCAACGATTCAAAAAAAATTAATGAGAAAAGAAGATATAAGTCCAAATTTTATTCAATTGAGGATGAAATCGAGCACTTGAATATGCTAATCAGTACAGATATTATTTAATTCACTCAAATTTCTTTACATAAAATAAAATGAATTGAATAATAAAATTGATCTATATAAAAAAATTAAAAAAAATTGCAAATCTATCATGTTATAAATTTCAATTTCTGAAAAGTTAAACAACCTTTCAATGAAGTCGTTGGATTACAAACTTTGAATTTAACGTATAATAATATTTTTTATAATAAAGTTTAACATATTCAAGTCATTAGTAACAATAATAAGTTTATTTTATCCTCTATTGAATAAAAATATGACTTATATTTTTTCTCCTCATGAATTTTATTTTATATCGTTGAGATTACGGTTCATCGCATAAAGTTAATTTGAAGAAAAAGTAACAGATAGATAAACAATTGGAAAAATTGCTAAAAGATTTAATTTCTCGACGCATGGATTCTGTTAATATAAACCTATGTTATTTGTATTAAGATGGACAAAAACCAAACTTGATAAATTTTTGAATACTTAAAGGACTAATATCGGTAAGTTTATAGTTAAGAGATTAAAACTGGTAAGTGTATAGTTAAGGGATCAAAACTGACAAGTTTTTGAATAGTTAAAGGACTAAATCCGTTAAGTGTGTAGTTAATGGACCATTTTAGACCTACTCCTTTAGTTAAAGGACTACTTATGTCATAAATAGTCCCTCAACTATAAGCGTAGGTCTAAAATGTTCCCGTAACTATACACTTAGCAAATTTAGTTCTTTAACTATTCAAAAAATTGTCAGTTTTGGTCCCTTAACTATACACTTACCGGTTGTAGTCCCTTAACTATAAACTTACCGATTTTAGTAGTGTAAGTATTCAAAAACTCATCAAGTTTGATCTTTGTCCATTTTTTAATACAAATAGCTTAGGTTTATATCAACTGATATCTTCGTAAAATTAAATCTTTAACCCATTTTTAAGTTGTTTCTCTATTCAGTCGTTTTTTTCAAACTACTCTTATGAAAAGAACAATAATGTCAACGATTCAAAATAAAATTAATGAGCAAAGAAGATATAAGTCCTAATTTAATTCAATAGATGATAAAATTAAGCACTTGAATATGCTCTAATCAGTGGAGATATTATTTAATTAAGTCAAATTTCTTTATGTAAAATAAAATGAGTAGAATAATAAAATTGATCTATATAAAAAGAAAAATTCAAAAAAAATTACAAATCTATCATTTTATAAATTTCAATTTCTGAAAAAATTAAACAGTTGTTCAATGAAGTCGTTGGAGTACAGACTTCGAATTTAAAGGATAGTAATTATTTTTATAATAAAGTTCAACATATTCAAGTCAGTACTAACAATAATATGTTTATTTTATCCTCTGTCAAATAAAAATATGACTTACATTTCTCGTGAATTTTATTTTAAATCGTTGAGATTAAGGTTCATCGCATAAGTTAATTTGAAGAAAAAGTAACCGAGAGATGAACAATAGAAAAAATTGCTAAAAGATTTAATTTTTCGAGGCATGGATTTTGTTAATATAAACCTGCGTTATTTGTATTTTTAAAAAATAGACAAATACCAAACTTGATAAGTTTTTGAATACTTAAAGGACTAAGATCGATAAGTTTATAGTTAAGGGACTAAAAACCGATAAGTGTATAGGTAAGGGACCAAAGCTGACAGGTTTTTGAATAGCTAAAGAATTAAATTTGTTAAGTCGGTTAAGAGACCATTTTAGACCTACTCGTATAATTAATGTACTATTTAGGTCATTTTCCCCATTTATATTACATGTATAATTCACTTATTACAATAAATATATATATATATAAAAAAAATTAAAAATATTACTAAAATCATAAATATTTATCAAAATGTACTCACCCAAATAATTTTCTTTTCTTTAAATTTTTGTTTTTCCTTCTAGATTTTGTCTCTCCCTTTTCTCTTTTTTTTTTCTCCGGAATTCGCCAACACCTCCCTCTATCCTTCACGGCATTCTCTACTTTTTTTTTTATAATTACTATTTTGCTTCTTTGTAAATAAATTTAGTTCATAGATTTAATATTGCATATCATTAATTCAGAGATTTGACCACAATTATGTTTCCTTTCTAAAACATTAATTAGAACAGTTTCCGTATTCCCAAAAATATCTGAGAAATAACTTGATAAGTATTTTTACCAAGAAATTCAAATTCTCAAAATACTAGAAAAAAAATAGTAATATTTAGTTAAGTTCCACTATTCAGAAAAATTTTTAAAATGTAAATTACCTCAAACTTTAATTTTTTGTAAACATACCCATCATTTATAGTTTTGGATAGAATTTTAATCCTAGTTTCATTGTACAAAATTTTTACCGTTAAACACATATTTTATATAGTTCTCTTCCCTTTTTTTCAAATTTATATTAGTTGTGATTGCTATCATAACATTTCACGGAACATATTCATTATATAATGATAGCGAATATTTTTAATAATTTTTTTAACTTAGTGATATAATTCGTATTTCTTTAAAAAGTCAAATATTTCTTCAAACCCTATGGTATTTAAAAAAATTATGAACAGAAGCTAGCTTACAAGTAGAGACTAAAATCATAACACGTTTAACGAAAAATGATATTTGATGCCTTACTTTCCTATGTAAACTGAATGTTGAGAAGCCCTTTGAATTACATATGTGTATACAAACAAGAGAAGAGTAAATTGAGTGGTGGAAATACAAATTGTGAGATTTGTTCCACCTTATTCTCATTTTAGTTTACAAATATTTAGATTGGAGAAAACAGTAAATTAAATAAGAGCAACATATTTACAACTGTTGGACATCAAACTACAACTCTCAGTACCTGAAGGCCAAAACAAAAACAAAATTAAAATGAAAACTAAGACTAAGACAAAATTAAAGCTTCAGGACTAATCATAAAACGCTAGAGGTCATCTAGAGGTCGATAATTCATGATCTAAATTTTAAGATTACGGGATATGGAACAAGGTATGAATACGAGTGCAGAGATTCGGCTAAAAATAATTCAAATATCTAAAAATAGAATTATAAAACAAAAATTATGAGATTTTACATGGAAAACTTGGGGAAAAAATACTGATCACGAGGATAATCCCGGGAGGAGATTAATGGAAAAGAAGTGACATAAAAATTCCATTTTCTTTGATTACAGAACTCATAGAAACTCTCCGGAATTTCTCTGTCGATATGTCAGAGTACCCAAAATTAATTGACCAGATCGGGTTAAGGATCCCACAACCACAACCATTACGTGTCAACACAAGTGCAGCACCAAAAGTGAAGAATCCGAGATGTCAGTTCTTTCTCGTATGGAAACTAAAGCTGATTTACAAAGTTTATGAAGTAAAGTACTATTTATAATAAAGACATGATTTATCTATAGGCAGTCACAAAAGCAGTCCCAGAATGTACTGCAGCACTGCAAACAATTCTAATTGATTAAAAACCCTTACCCTGTGAAAAAGCTCACTTTTTTAAATGTGGGAATATGACAAACGTAAAACAACTTGAAAGATGTTCAGTAAAGTTAAACAAGTCTTGGTCTCTCCCCTGTATTTCAGTCAAAGAGTCTTACTTTGAATTGCATTAAAAGAAGATCAGTGAATCCACACTCTAGTTTTTCTTACAAAGACGAACACTTCATTCATCTGTTGTGGAAAAGAAAGGAAGAGACACCCAAAGATGTTTTTGCCAAAACTTGGAAACAGTAACACTTCCATTGGAAGAAAAGGTTGGGAGGCTGTGATTGGTTTGATTTAAAGATGGAATACTGTGAGGTATCTGAAGGATGACCACAAAATAACAGAAGACCTGCAGCAACAGGAGACATGAACATTGGCAGGCCAAAATCTACTTAATTGCATTTCCACTTGAGATGTTACTTACTCCTCAAGATTCTACATTCAATATCCACATCATTGATAATCCTAAATTGAACTAGCAGGTCTGGATGGTATAGATTTTTAAAAGTTAATGTACATGTACTATGATATAATGATCTATTAAGTGACATAACAAAAGTCTTTTAGTGCATACATGCAAAAGTATGCTTCAATCTTCAAATGCACAAGACTATATAAACACTCCCTCGGTTTTATTTTATGTGTCGGTATTGCTGCGCAAGGAGTTTAAATAAGAAATGATGACTATTGGAAGTTGTGATCTTAAACATGCTATAAACTTCTATATGGCTATAAAAGTAATATAGAAAGTTGTCATTCTTTTAGGAACGGAATTAAAAAGGAACGAAATGTCATATAAAAAGGAACAGAAGGAGTACGATAAGAGAAAATAACATTAGAAATTTGGCCAGTCATGATACTTACAATGAATGAAAGAAGTTGACCTAAGAGAACTAATGCTCATCCCATCTGCCACTGCATCCACATAATTGAAACCGGATCAAAGCTCAAAGTTCTATTTTCAGATATCTTTGAGTATTTAAGCTTGACAAGTACAGCATCAATCTCAAAAGAAAGGATTTGGGCCAATGGTAGAGGAATCTAAAACTTTGAGTATTGTTTTTAACTAATACGAGAAGTAGATACAATAAAAAAATATTAAGTATATAGTAGAAAAAACGGCGACCATCAGTAATTAGAAAGAAGGAAGTACTTTAAGAACTGGTTCTCCCTGGTTTGCATTCGTTGCTTGCTTGGCAGCAGCTGCCATTTGTGCACGTGCTGCTCTTCCTGCGGCAGATTTTTCATATTGTTCTTGCCTGTTACAACAATGGATAATTCAGGCCAAGAAAACATCTTATTTTGAAGATCTGGTATAGCAGTACCAGTAAACTGATGATGTGAGAAGAAGCTCCATAATATGAATGTAATGCTATGAATTCATCAACTTAAGAAGTTCAAATACAAAAGTGTGAGATATTTATATGCTTGTACTTAGGATGAGATAAGGCATCCCTAGTCACATTTAAGTATCTTCCCTGGGAGGTACATCTCATGCCTTCTGTGCTTCGTTAAAATGACATTAATGAAATATGCATGACCCGATACATCATTTAAAAAAGTGTTTGAGCTCTGATATTTGAGATTATGGTTATACAGATGTCAATCTCGATAAACTTCACATGGTTAGTAATAATCAGCTAGAATGTACTAAATTTAAATATTGCCTACACAGATTCAGCAATTAACTTTATTATATGCCTAAAGGTGCTCTATGTATAACTAAAGGGCTCAACTTTTCTTCCTCTCAGCCCTTATTGGTATGTTTGGTGTGAGAAATATAGGGAAAAGATATTATTGAATTGATGTTGTATCTACACTGTTAAATGAGACCCTATTTATATACCCTAGAATACAATCCTTTACCAAGTAGGATACTATTTAGTATTCCTATTAGGCTATTACTATTCTAATAGGATTGTATAAAGCTATTCCTATTTTAATAGGATTGTATAAAACTATTCCTATTCTAATGGGATTGTATAAACCTATTCCTATTCCAATAGGATTGTATAAACCTATTCTTATTCTAACACACCCCTTCAAGCTTGTGCATACAATTCATGTACCTGGCTTGTTACAAATGTAATTAACACGAGGACCAAAAGGGGCTTGGTGAGATATCTGCAAGTTGATCAGTCAACTTCACAAAATTGACAAAAAATTGTCAGTCATTCTCAATGTGTTTGTCTTCTCATTAAATATTGGATTTGATGCATAATGTCACACAGAGATAAAATTTCAGTATTTAACTTCCCAAACCAAACCCGTAAAGACTACTTCAGACCATAAAGTGACTCACATAATCGACATACAAGGCTACTAAATCCCCCTGAGCAACAAAGTGCTCAAAACCTAGTATAAAGTATATGGATCATGTTGGAATCAATAGATTGGTCAATATTAAAGAAGTCACCGAAAAACTAGCTGGAACATGCTCATATGCCGGAGTATTAGATTTGATGGCTAAAAGTGGTCACAATCTAAGAAGTAAAATTATATAAGTAGTATCGGAATGATGTCACAACCCAACTAGAAAATAGAAATTATATAGGATAAATTGAATTGATGGAACAAAACCACTGAGAAAGAGAAATAATATGGGTAAGATCATAATAATGGCACAACCCTAATGAAAAATAGAAATTATATAGGTAGGATTGGAATGATGTCACAACCCTACGCAAATTAGATTTGAGGAGTCAAAGACGAATGGAACTACGCAAATCAAATCGGAGAAGTCACTGAAAAGACACGGTGCTATGCAACTCAGATATGAGAAAGAAGTTCAGAAAAAAAAAACCACGATAGTACGCAAATTAAATATGAAAAGTAGTCCGGAGAGATCACGTGCTATGCAAATAGATATGCAAAAAAAAGATAGTAACCAGAAGGATGGCAAGGTGCTACACAAATTAAATATGAAAAAGTAGTCACCGAAATGATGGCACGGTGCTACACAAATTAATACTACACAAATTAGAAATACGAAAGTAGTCACCGGAATGATGGCACGGTGCTGCATAAATTAGATATGAGAACAGTTACCAGAAAGATACATGGTGACCCAACATTTGCTAACATAATCATTGGCCGGACGGGCGGCATATATGACCAATAGCCGCCAGCCGACAGCAGAACCTCTTCGATTTTCTTCAAGATCGTAGAGGCTTTGATACCATGTGAGAACATAAGAAAAAAAATATTATTGAATTGTTGTTGTATCTACATTATTACATTGAGGCATTATTACATTGAGACCCTAGAATACAATCCTTTACCAAGTAGGATACTATTTAGTATTCCTATTCCTATTCTAATGGGATTGTATAAAACTATTTTTTTCTAATAGGATTGTATAAACCTATTCCTATTCTAACAATTGGAAACAACCCCGCTACCTCAGAGAGGTAGTAGTAAGGTTTACGTACTCCCAAACACAACTTTGAGGGGAGCCCTTATTGGTGTAGTGTTTCGGAACATGAGAAAGGAGGAAGAAGTGGATCATATATATATATATATATACACACACACACACTCCGATCCTACTTGGCAAAATGCGTAAAATACACTCAAATTAGGCGCGTCAAATGTAAAAATTGAGGGGCCCAACAGTAAAAAAAACACTGAAAGCGCAATTAAACTCTCTTTCTCATTTTTCAACAATTTTCCCCTCTTTTTAGCATTATTTGTTGTTCATTGCAAAATGCAAGTGAGATTTAATTACTTCTTTGTTATTGTGAAAAAAATTATAATGAAGTTCTTTTTTTTGGCAATGGGGTGAGTATACACTTATTTATAGCTTAGATATTATATTGCTACTTAAACTTGACAAAAATCTCAAATAAATTCATTCAGACAATTTATCAAACACTTTAAGTGCACCATTTTACTTATAATTTTTAGCACTGTAAGTTCATTTTTTGGCCACTGAAAATTCATAATTGTAGTTCTCTTCACTATGACAATCATAATACTCAAAGCACCCTATTTTTTCCATTCTCGTGTCTTCTCATATTTATGGGTTGCTCTGAAATAATTTTGCAACAAACACATTAGTTTCCTCTAAAGATTCTCGTATTAGTTTGAATATTTGACAAACAATATACAAATTATTGTTTCTAAAATGTTGAATCTTGGTGCATTGACTAAATTAAGGAAGAAGAATAGATAATCGTAAATGAAATTTCAGCACATATCTTGAACAATTTTTTCTTTGATTTGAATACAAGGGCCATGAATTTTAGAAATTGTTTTTTTTAGAGAAAGAAGAGAAGAGGTACTAATTTATTATTTCCTAAAAATGAATTTGTTTTCACTTTCACCTTATTATATATTATAAATTATTTTTATTATTTTTAAAATCTAGGTGTATTTATTTTAGTTAGTTGGCAGCAACTAAGTGGTTTACTTTTCCACGTCAGAGCATGTGTGTATCACGCGTTTTGCTTGAAATTCGAGTGTTTTTTTGTTTAAATTCTGGATAGTTAAAGTGTCTCTTTGTGCACTATCAAAGTTAAAGGTCAAAGTTATAATTTGAAGCCAAGTTAAGGGTCCAATTTATGCATTATGCCTTCTTCTAAAGTCATACCAGAAATTGTGTATGTTACATATCATTCCAAAGCTCCTCTCAGGCACAGAAGTTGTGAACCAAATCAGACCTATAAAATTTAAAAGAACTAAACAGCAGGTATTAAGAAAGTAAGAAAGATGCATGAAAATCCATCAAGCAATATAAGCCAACGAGGATTTTCATGCAATGTACACATGACCTTTATGAATGTAACTAAATTCCTTTTTTGTCATTTTGAAAAGAATCATCTGCTATGGATTTGATGGACACGTCAAACCCTTAGATGTACCAAAAGGGATGAGCAATTAAAAAAGTATTTGAACCACTGTGTACCCAAATCCCAAAAGAATATCTCCTCTGCCAAGCCGCTAGAGAATGGGACAAGTTCAGCATTACAAAGAATAGCATAAGTAGGCTAAGGCACAGAGAAAAGGGTGTGAATGATCTTGCATACTTTATGTTCCTTAGAGTGTTAGATCTGGAAACTCCCTCTTTGTTTTCTTTTCTTTTTTTTTTTTTTGCTCTGTTTTATTCCAAGAATTTGAGGAACAGACCCCTCTTGTGGCCTGAAAGTCAGTTTATCAATCCTATACCAAGAGTTGATGATTATTAGATGAATTACACAATGCTTTTTTTTCTCTAAACTGGACCTTTTGGCTGGTTATCACCAAATTCGCATTCACTCACCGGACATCGAGAAAACTGTTTTTCGCTCCCATGACAGCCTTTCTGAATTCACTGTCATGCCAGTTGGCCTGTAAAATGCTCCCTCCACTTTCCAATCCACCATGAATTCTATTTCAAACCATTCCTTCGTCAATTCTTGTTGTTTTTAATATGACATTCTTCTGTTCTTCACCTTTGCCTACCTCATTCATGGAGGTTAAGAGGTTTTCTTGGCTTGACACGCTACGACCATCTATGACTGTGTCAAAGGTTATGCACAGTTAGCTTCTCCTCTTACAGACTTGTTGAAGAAAGATTCTTTTATTTGGACCGAGTGGACATCAACTACGTTCTTCAACTTAAAGATGTTTTGAGTTCAGTCCCTGTCCTCTCTTGACGAGATTTTCCAAAGTATTTACTGTAAAAACTGATGTGTCTGGCATAGGGATTGGAGCAGTTCTATCCCAAGAGCGTCATCCTATTGCATTTTTCAATCAAATGCTTTCCATTACGATGCAAGTTGCTTCTACCTACAACAGGGAAATGTTTGTCATCACTCAAGCTGTTCAAAAAGGCGACAATATTTGGTGGGTCGCTGTTTTCTGATTATCACTGACCAACAAGCTTTAAAGTCCCTCATCAGGCAAGTAATACAAACTCTGGAGCAACAGTGTTGGCTAAGTGAACTTATTGGCTACGATTTTGAGATTCTCTATTGGTCCAGAAAACTTAACTCAGATACAGATGCCTTGTCACGAGTTCCTGTTCTTCAAGCTTTGACTTTGGCCTTCACTGAATTGGCCTTGCTAGACCAATTATGTGCCTAAACAAACCTGATGAAGGCTCAGTTACATTACAACAACTCTTCATTCTTGCATTCGCATTCCACTTCTCTACCACATTTTTCTTTTCAAGAACAGCTTCTATTTCGAAATCAATTGGTTATACATCAAGATGCTAACCTTCGATCCTTGTTGCTTACTGAGTTCTACTCTTTCAAATTTGGGGATCATGGGTCATGCTGGTATCTCGCGCATTTCATCTTCTTTTTTCCAACTTCCATTGGAAGGGAATATGCGCCGATGTAGAGAAGTTTGTCTTGGAGTGTCAAACCTATCAACAAATGAAAGACTCGACCTTGAAGCCTGCTGATCTGTTATCCCCCATTGCCCATTCCAAATGTTATTTTTGAAGATATTTCAATGGATTTCATAATTGGACTTCCTCTATCGTGACGCCTTGTTGTTATATTGCTGACAATAGATTGTCTCTTCAAATATGGCCACTTTATTGCCCTGCCGACCAAATTTACTATAGCCAAAAAGTTGTTATGGTGTTTGCAGGAATTTGTTTATTTTACATGGATTTCCTGCCACCATTGTTTGTGATCATGATCCCCTTATTTCTCTCTGAATTTTGACAAGAACTGCACAGACTCCAAGGGACATGGCTTGCTTGGAGTTCACCGTATTACCCATTCAGAATGCCAAACCGAGGGTATTAATAAGTGCTTAGAGATGTATCTTCGGTGCTGTAACAACTCCAATTTCACAATAGAAATATTCAAATATTATAATCACTGATCTCAAAGTTACAACGGAAAATGACACTAACAAAGAAAACTATTGTAGGAGATAACTAGAAGGGAGATGAGAAGCAGACTCAAAGAAAGGGGATGAGAGGACTAGACATTTTTCTTAACAGTTTGCATAATCCCTTAATCAAATAACATTACCCCTTTTGATAGAACAGCTGTCATACCCACTACTCAATCTGGATCTCAAATTAACCTGACCTTATTGCTTGTTCTCGGCCAAATAGCTCTCGTCAGCCCAATAACAACTTATATGACATTAGTATCTACATTGGGCTGGGCTTGGTTTTTAACAATACCTTCATCCCAATTAAGAACCTTGTCCTCAAGGTTCAAGTTGTAAAATCCATCCACAACTTTCACAGTTGTTTGAATAGTAGCAATTTCTACATGCTGCAATGTCACAATTGTAAAATGAAACGACACTCCTCCATCCAGTAATAAAAGTCAATAAACTGATCTAGATGATCTGATGCAAAGTATGTTACCTTTCTCAAAAAAAAAATGATCTGATGCAAAGTTCAACTCTATGCTGTCTTGCGAGAGTATAAAGGAAATTGGCATTACTCCTATTTGCTCTTTAACCACTTGTTCAACTTTAACTAGAATCAGAACACATCTAAAGCGGCAGATGTCTCTGCAACATACTCCACTATGAAGACTGAAATTAAAATATAATCCCACCACATCAGTTACCGAAAAGAAACAATACTTAACAAGCTGACTGACCAGTGAAATTGTTGGGGTATGAAAATCAATTAGACAAAGAGTTGCCACCACCTTTGGCCGATCCAGTGGCATAAGGTGAGTAAACTTAGAACTTCAGCTATCACAGAAACTGATGTATTTATCATCTTAGCTACTAAAGCAATCTGGTAAATTCTAGTCCAGTTGGTGATAACTCCATGGTCAACCACACCAGCCACCCATGGATGAATCACACTAACAACATCCATGTTATATGCCACAACAAAATGTAGGAAGAGCCTCACAGGACTGGCAAAAAAGTCGGTGTCACAACCACTATAGACAAAATAAAACCATGCTAGCAAGTTAGCCATCTTGTCTAGACTGTAGTTCTTAATCATTTCCATTATTTTTTCATTTCTTGATAAATGTTGCCCATATATTTGTTACTATCTTTAAGATGTCTGGTAGTATGTAAGAAGGAAATGAAGGGTATTCGAGGACCCTTTTTCTAGAAACAGGTTTTCTTTTCGAAGGAAGGGAGCCAACCAGACCGTAGAAGTAGCTATTACCATTTCAGAGTTATTCCCATCGTGCACGAGCTTGCTATCCTGTGGTTTGTGTCATGTGCTGAATGTATAACCATTCCTACCATCAATAGTGCAAGTCTAGCATTCCAGCCAATGGAGAATCAGATGTGGAAATATCATCTACAAGCAAATAGATATTATTGAAGAAGGGGGGTGCGTTATCCACTGCTTCGTCTATGTCCCTCAATACAAATTCCTTAAAAAAAACCGTCCAACTAAGTTGGGATCTCCAATTAACGGTCTTGCGATCTTGTGGCTACAACATATGACACAAAACCTCCAAAGACTGTCATCGAACATACTCGGTGAACTAATTCTAAAATGTTGGAGAATTTCCTTGTCCATTGCAAACAGTCCCAAGTCATCAAGAATCTCACAATCATTGTACTCTCAACCAACAATTACCACCTTCCAATACTTCGCAACGGTCATTGCTTCCACGAGCTTAGCATCATCAACAACTTTACACAGGAAGAAAAGGTTCATGGAATGATCACCATGCACATCAAAAACAGACAACAACAGACTAGTGGGCTCTTGTGGTGTTTCATAGGATATGGTACGAACATGTTGTCCGCCATCTCGACTTGATTGGTCACTACCATACTGAGGCAGTTCAGGAAATGGGTAATATAACTCGCTCTCTGTGTCTCTAGTACGGGAGCGAAAACGAATCAGCAATTTGTCCACAAATGGTCCCAGCCAGCGAGTTGTTTGTTGTGAAACAGCCATCCATACCATTCCAAAGCCTCGTCATTAAATGAGAATGAAGCCAATGACAATTTATGCTCGGAGAAAATTTGTGGGAAGGCCAAATATTTCTCGGTATGAATAACCCAGACTGCAGGGTTATCCCCACTAAATCGCGGAAAAGAAACTGAATTTGGTATACACGACGGAGTGAAATGAGTTAGAATAGGAGACGACTGGAGTAAATCGAAATGTTGGAGGAATGCACGGATAGATTCTTTGAGGGAGGTGAGTGAAGTGTCCACCATGTTAGACAAATCAATGATAGGACCAATGTAACAACTCCAATTTCACAATAGAAACATTCAAATATTATAATTACTAAAGTCGAAGTTACAACGGAAAATGGAACTAACAAAGAAAATTATCGTAGGAGATGGGAGATAACTAGGAGGGAGATGAAAGGACTAGACATTTTTCTCTAACAATTTGCATAATAACTGTTCTCATACACACACTTAATCCGAATTCCAAATTAGCCTAACCTTGTTGCTTGTTCTCGATCCAATAGCTGAGGTGTATGTCCTTATCATGGTCAACTAAATGAAGGGAGTATTACTATTACTATAAATGAGCAAATTACATATATGTGGTAAAGCGAAAAGTTGAAGGTGATCGATCATATGTTTATTCTGCTTAATTAAAAATGAAAAGAAATTGATAGGAAATTTGCCTTTTTTGGGCGGCTTCGGCAGCTCTGGCACGAGCTTCTTCGGAGGCTAATTGTTCTTCTTCTCTCCTTTGTTCTCTTTTGCTGCCCCCATCGAAGCAATCGAAGCATCCCATCTTCTCTCTTCCTTTTCTCCAAATACACCTTTTTCTAAACTATTTTCACTTCAATACTTCCCAAAGCTGAGGGTTTTTTATTTATATTTATATTTTCTCAAATCTTTAAAATTACTTTTTCAACCCATCAATTATAAGTAAATAAGATACTCTCCTCCTAGCTTTTCTTTTTATTCTATTATATATCAACTTCTTTTAAAAGTCATGATATCTTTTTATTTTTTTAATTCAATTATTCATAAAAGGATGAACTTTATCTTTTGAACAAAAAACAATGAGAAATATTAATTAAGTATATCAACTCATGGTGTTCTATAATGAAATAAATTAGTATAAATTCATTGAAAAGTGAATTGTCCATTTAGTTTACTAATTAAGTATTTATGTACGTGTGTTTCCAATATTATATATATGAATCTTTTTGGGATGATAATGTATTTATTAATTTGACATTCATTATGGTGACATTTGAAGTGATTTCTCTACCCTCTACTTATAAATAGAGATAGGCTTAACCCATCAGTGATCTCCTAAACTTGGCACAAACTTCAGTTAGACACTTCAAATAAGGTTTGTTCATTTTAGGCACCTCATGTTGAGTCTCATTTTGTCATTTTAACACTAATCGCTGGCTAAGCATGGTACGTGTTCTTCACGAACTTTAAGTACGTCAGAGACGTTTTTTATAAATATTTTGACTTTTTTTTATTAATATTTTCTTCTCATTTTTCTTCCTTGCTTTTTCCCTTCCATCTTCTTCACATGCTACCATCCTCATCACAGCACAACTTTTTAAAGAAATTTTACAATACTTTACTAGGTTACATTCTTTGATTCTTTTATCTTCTTTGAAAATCAAATTTGCATCTTGATTCATATAATTTAAAAACAAAATTGATTTCAATGAAACAAAAAATGAAATCAACATCTTTCAAATGGAAAAATTGAATTATATTCTTACCTTCTCTGTTGAAATTATGAAATTAAATTGATTTCAAGAGATAAATTAATAAAGAACAACCTCCAATGAAAATAAAATAATTTATTTTACATATTCGTCATTGTAAATCTCAATCATAGTAGCACAAGAAATTATATTCTTCTAAATGTCATACAAAATCTTTTTGATTTGATATGATTTTTCTATTCTGCAACGTAGTTTACTTTGTGAACTAATATGTGTTCTCGACTTTTTGATGGAGAAGAATAAATCATAAAGGTAAGGAAGGAAAAAAAGAAAGAAGAAAAGAGGTGGGGGCATGAGGTTTGGGATCTAGAAGAAATAAAAAAGAAAGTAAAACTAACTTTTAAAAAAAAAAATCACATGTCAAATACTGATTTGTTTATTTTTTTCACATAAGAGGCATCTAGGTACGCACTTAAAATGTGATTTTGAAAACATAAAAAGTGTCAAAATGATACAATGAGGTTTGACATGAGGTTCTTAAAATGAATAAAGCCTAGTTGGAGTGTTAAAGTGAAAGTTGATGTCAACTTTAAGGGGTCACCAATGGGTTATCCCATAGAGATATCATTCCCCATTTATGATACACTCAGGGGCGGACTCACATGGTTTCCGCCGGGTGCTCGAGCACCCATGAACTTCGTTACGAAATATATATATCTATGTAGAAATTAATAGGTATTTGTATAAAATTAACATAGAGCACCCAATGAATAAATCATATAGTTGGCCCAATGGTTCAAGGATGGGTACTTAAGACTTTTTTAATGTTGTTGTACCAAGGTTCGAATCTCATTGTTAACACATATTTTTTATAGTTTCACTTCAGAGCACCCACAACCTTAAAATCCTAGATCCGCCACTGGATACACTTGAATAAGAAAAAAACTATCATCCTTCATCTACTTATTCTTGTCTTTTTCACTTCATAATTATATCGTTCTGAACTTAATTTTATAGCACGTTATCAGGAAGAATTTCTAATTACTTTATAGTTTCAAGATTACCTTTTATTTTCTCTCCGTAATAAGGTAAGTTATGTATACTATTGATTGTTGAGGTTTTGTTGATTTATTTTTTTTCGAACAAGATGAGTAACTACTATTATGTATTTTTCCTATTGCATGTTTTCTTTTTTATTGTGCTCATTGTAGTCATTTGAGCAATTCGTTGGTTAACCATTAAATATTACTTTGGCTATTTCATAAGCTAGCTGTTGGTACTTTAGATGTGTGGGGAATACTAAGATACTTCACAGGAATATTTGACCAGCAACAAGCAATTTTATTTTAGAGTAGTAAGTATTTTTTAGTATGCAACTATACAATGAAATCATTTGAGTTATTCATTAAAAATAAGAGTAAATTGTAAAGGAATATAGTAAATGACACTGTTAATCTATTTTGCAGTTGATAAATGTATTTAATTATTTTACGGCTTATTTGTGTGTAATTTATTTATTGTTTATAGTGAGAATTTTCTAGCCTCTTTCTGTGCGAATATGTTGATGTAACAACCGTAAAAATGGATAAGATAAGTAATGCTTAATGTCTCTAGAATGTCTGCGATTAGATCGGGTTCATACGAATTGATGCGCGTAGAACCAGACCTCGAAACCCTTGCTGCAGCTAAGCCAACTAACTTGGGGAGTGAGTTGAGCTAGTAAAGATTGGGTCCAACCATGTAAGGCTCTCGAATACGAAGATTTACTCGAATAACTCTTTACCGGACTTAAAAAGGAAAAATCATAGTTTTGGAGGGCCTAGGTGTAAATGGTCCTTTTTCAGGCTAAGGATAGTATCATAATTACCGTAAATATATAATTAATTATTTAATTAATAAGGTGGAGGGGCATTTTGGGAGAGAGGGCTGAAAATTGGCTCTTGAAGTGAAGTCTTGCTCCACCCAGGTTCGAACCTAGGTGGAAGCAAGGAACACTCTAATGAAAGTATTGAGATTAACACACTTAATACTAATGATGAGATGAAAAATCATCTATTGAGCTATGATGTACTCATACTAGAAGCCAGCTTCCATGACGTATGAGTTAAATGTAATGGAACTTTATACTGAGCACCGATAGACTAGCTATGAGCGGTGATACCTTCTTTCGGGAAGGGCGGAGGTTCACGTAACTCTCATGAGATGAGACTGTCCGGCATGCCGGGTATGGGTCTCCTTATATCTCCTAGTCTTCGAACCTATACTGCCAATATAGGAATCTAGCGGGGTTCAATTCTCATGTACGCTAGCATGTTTTCAGTCACTTTGGCCGGTGATTCCACCTCTTTTCGGTGTGGGGGAGACACTGAATTTCATGATGCTCACATGATCTATGTCGATTAAAGTTAAAGTTCCCAATGAATAAATGAGGTCAGACTCAAATGATGCCTATAATGAAATGAACGATATCAAAGGTGTTAGGATAGGATAATCAAGAGATAAGATAGACTTAAGTAATGACACTAGGTTATTCTTGATCATTGCACAACAAGCGCGATGAGAGTCTTAAACTATATCCTAGGTATAGCTCGTGTTTACACTAGCTTATGAATGAATGAAATGAAGTACGTATGAATGAATGAAGCAGACTCTGTGTTTGTTAAAGAAGGCTCCTTAGTTGAGGTCCCATATGTTGAGCCCTCATTTTGGGAAGTCTTAATGTCAAGTCCATGATTCCAAGGTCTCATGACATATGAATGAATGATATGAAAGATGTTATGTGTTATATGCAATATGATATGTGTTATGTGTAAGGTGTTATGTGTTGTGTGCAATATAATAAGTATGATGATGCATGATACTATCATAGCATGACTTTCCTAATCCAAATTTGGAAATCTCACTGAATTCCCTAAATCCATATTTGGAAAGCGCACTGACTTTCATAATCTAAATTTGGAAAGCTCACTAACTTTCCTAATCCCAATTTGGCAAGTCCACTGATTTGACTTTCCATAATCATGTTGTTAGGAAAGAGTTATTCTTACTCATGCATGTCCTTGGTGTGTGCTTGCATATACCCATACTTAGTACAAGTGTGTACTAACCTTATACAACTCTACAATTTTAGGTGCAGGCACAGGTGGACGCTAGAGCTATAGGTTGACATTGAAGCTATCCGAACGTGGAACATTCATCCGGACTTGGTAGACCCTCATGCTTTCAAGGATGCTTGCCCATTATATTCTAGCTTAGTTATAGTATTGAGCTAGTGGAGTATGTTCCAACTAGCATTTCTTTTCGCTTTTGTTCAAACATTGTATTGGTGCCATTTTGGGAAGTATACATTTAATGTTATGTTAAACTATTTCTTTCATTTGATGATCTTAATGTTAGATGGTTGATGGCGAACAATTATGAATATAATAGAATGATTAGTATGTATGTTAAGAAACAAAAAGTTTCAAATTTTCCGCTAAAATTAACCTAGATGAAGTAAGAATGACGTAAGTAGGCTTGTCTGCGACCTCTGAGAGGTCAACGACGCCGGTCTCGTCTGGAGTGTGGACTCAGATCGTGACAGTTGATCACTCAAATAAAAGATTTGGTGCATTCAATATTATCTTTAGTGGTTCATAACTCCATACTAATTGAATAAGAATGACATTTGACCTATTATGTCATTGGATAAAGGTAAACAATGGATTTAAATTTTATCGATTCAAGAGGATAAGACATCAGATTAATGACTCGATGCACCACAATATTACAAGATATTGAGTTAAGATTCTGATGTACTATGATGATAAAATATTGGTTCGAGTTTCTAATACACCTTTACAGAAATAAGACATTGTGTTTGAGTCTCAATACACTACAGTGATGATATAATAATTACTAAGGTAAAAATAGTATTTTTTTTTATGAAAAGTCATGAAATTCGTCCCAACGAATTTGCTCCAATCTCTAAAGAGAATGTGGTAGTAGCATATGATAATTTTGGAATCTGCCCAATTGAATTGCTTCATTCTATTGTATGAATTGATAGCAACAAATAATAAGCCTGAAAGAGGACAAATGAATGAATGTATGAATAAGGGAATACATCACCCGTGAATTTCAATTAGTCATGTAATTTTTCTTCATCGGAGCTCCAGGCAGACCACCACAGTGACTTCTTCATTTGCACACTTTTCCAAGCCTTGCTCCAATTTGCTTCTATGTGCGTTGCACACCATCTATAACGTGCTTTAGGAAACACCTGACTAAAAACATTTAGTAGCCCATGTAACAATAAAAATCATAATATTATTTATATAAGAATTTAACTGAAAATCAAAAACATATTAAAATTTGAAACACCTGCCTTATGCATATCAGACACGAATGTTACTCCTTCACCATATGTTAGGTCAAGAGAATTTCTCAGCAACTCAATAAACCATTTCCATGTTCTAGATGTCTCTTTGTCCACCATTGCCCAACTAAGTGAATAAAAGTGTTTCACTAAATCTTGTCTCATTGCAACCAATAAGATTTCCTTGCATTTTCCTTTAAAAAAAGTCCCATCGAGCCCTATACAAGGCCTCAAACCTCCCTTCCAGCCATTTTTAAAGCTTAAATGCACACATACATTCTTAATAATCTTTTTTTTCCTTGTTCCAAAGCCTCTCTAGATACGTTTATGCTAACAACAGTATCACGGTTTTGTCCCTTAGTTTTCTAGCATAACCCTCCAATTTATTGATTTCATCAATGTAGCTACCTTCCAATTACTCGAACACAAGCCTTTTAACCCTCTTCATCTTGGAATAACTAACATTCAAATAAAACTCATCATCCAAATCTTGTCTCATATCATTTACACTTTACTTTGGATTATTCTGAAGCTTTTTCTTAAAGTAACGTGCTAAAGTTTCTTGAGCGACTCTTCTATTCTTAAAAGCATTTTTACCACATGAGTGATAAGTGTTCAAGGTTTTAATTTCCTTGGTCTTTTTCTATCTTCAGATATGACATATTCAAATGGACAACCAATATCATAAAAATATCTCAATCTTGTAGAGTCACTTTTTTCAACTTTAAGTGCAACTTTTGTAACAATAGAGTAAAAAGTCACAATTTTTTTAGCTTTTGTAAGATCTTTTAAGCACGTACCCTTTTCCAACTTTATGAATTTGTTTAGCTTGTCATTGATCTCTCTGTATTTTTCCTTTCTAAAGACTTCCAATTCATTACTATTATAATCACTAGGAGTAGGTTCATTCTGATCCTCATCCTCCTCATTTGATTCACAATCAGTTCCTACCTCTACTGGCACAACAAGGTAATGCTTGTTCAGGTCACAAATATTAGGAATAACAACAGTAGTTTCACCCTCATCTACAACAAATAATTGAAGAATACTAAACTAAGTAGACAAAGTAAATTGTATAGTCATAATGCTTGGATCATCCTCAAGCAAATAATACCTACTAGTTGGCCTTGAAACTGACAGTTGTTTCACAGCTCTAAATCCACATTTCTGAATGAACTGTGAGCAAATGTCAATATATGACAACAAACCCACATCATAACCATGCGAGGTTTTATTTAATCTTTTAATGTATACAACTTGAGGATAAAGGACCCACTTGCCCCTATAGTTAAATACTAAATTTTTAGAAAAGAAATCGTCAGCCATAAATAAAACAAGTTATTGGAAAACTAACATTATTTAATTTGAAGATAAAGGTAGTAAAATTATAGGGACTACTAACATTATTTACCGAGAAAGTATATCACCGAACTTGACGTCAAAACTTACTTTAGTACTTTTTAATTATACGAGCGTTTAAATACCTCCTTAACATCTTTGAAGTGTACAACCCTCAGGGAGGAATACCACTCTCACCTTCTTCCACCCATTCTCTTCCACTCTCCCCCCCCCCCCCCCCTCTTCTTTTTGATTTTCACAATTTTTAGCCTTCATTGACTTTTTTTTTCTAACCATTTTCAACCTTCAATAGTTGTTTTCTTCTTCAACATTCATCAATATTTTAAAAAAAGAACATTTCTTCTTTTTTTTCAATATTTCGCGCGCTTTTAGGAGAGTGAGTACACTCAATTTTCCGCGTCAGCTCTTCAAAATTATTAAGGGAGTATTTAAACATACGTATAATTAAAGTGCTAAAATATGTTTTGACTCCAAATTCAGAGGGGATTTGATGTATTTTTACTTATTTATTTTAATTTCACATAGAATACAACACTGAAACAAACAAAAAAGTGCACAAATAGAAGTGTTCATTAGGTACTAGTCATAGTTAAGATATGTAAATGAATTACGCGAATAACTTTAAAGGACGCAAATAACTTAAGTCTATCCATTAAGTAACTCATTTTTAACCATTTATTTAAAATGTGAGTTAAGTCAAATAGTTAATACATTTTTATCCAACTCACAATATTTGATATGAGGATGCTCTAGGTACCCAAAAAAAAAAAAAAAAGGAGCACTAGAGTAGAGTTGGAGCTTAAAGACACAATTGAGTCATAAGTTAATTAAAACAAATAGTGAAAATCCCTATCTAATTTTGGGTTGAAATCCGTCGATCCGGATCCGGAAGGTTAATAGCCGGGAAATAATCATAAATAGAAGCGGGTAATGGAAATTGATGAATGAAAAAGGGATATTGTGGAGAGGGAATTTGAAGAGAAGGGAAGAGAAGAGAAGAGATGGGAAGAGGAGAGTGGTGGGCTTCTTCTAATTGGTGTTCCTACAAACGTACCACCATTCTTGTTTGTTCAATTAACATTTTTGTTGCTCTCTATGTGCTTCATTCATACACTTCACCAACCATCAATGGTAACCTAACTCTCCTTCAAAAATCATCCAATATTTAATACTTATTCAATATTTATACATTACATACATACACAGCTTTTAGGTATACTCCAGATCAGCTTACCAAAATGGAAGATTCCAATCGAATAAGAAAACAACTACAACCTCTGCAACTTATTCAACTAGTAATACCCTTTCCTCATGCTTTTATCTCTTTACTTTACTTTATGCCTTATGCTGTTGATGCCTGACATTGACACACACACACACACATCTCTCTTTTCCAAGATAAACGGATTAAAGCAAGAATTTTTGGTTGATGAAAACGTGCTGCAACTCCCACACAAAATTAAACAGAAGATATCACATGAGATACTAGCAACATTGAAACGTGTCAATGCCCGTGACAATGCAACACTGCAACGAGGTCATTATGCCCTTCACTTTTCATTCTTTATAGTCTACTTCTCAACTTCTTATCATAATAACTCTGAGCAACTGGGACACATGCACGAGACTGCCGTATTGTTTTTTTTTCATTAGTCACACTGATTTCATTGTTAGTATATCAAGATGCCATGAAAAATATTTACAGTATGGTACGACGCTCTATCTCATTGATTTAACTAGCTTGTCCAACTCTGTTCACAAGCTACCCTTTTACCAAAATAAGAAATTAGATTTTGCGTGATGTTATATTGGTTGAGGAATGGAATAAGAATGATGAGATAAATGTTAATTAATCAAACTAGAGTTCCGATTATGCAATATATTTGAATGAGTCTCTGAGGTTGTTTCTTTTGGAAAATGATTGTGGAGGTGAAAGCTAACTTAAACCTACTTCTGAAGGCAGTTTCCAAAGCATAATTCAAATAGTTCTCACAAGGTTTAATCTTTTGGACAAAAAGGTTGGTAGCAAAAAGAAATTAGTCTTGTCAGTTGTTTGATTGGATTTGGGTGTTATATACTCTTGGGACGCTTCATTAGCCATTTGCTGACATTATTATTTCTTTGATATGTGATCTGAATTTTATACTAAAAAGGAAATTTCTAACTTTACACTAATGAGTTGCAACAGTCATTTAGTAGTGATTTTAAATGCTCCGGCACTCGGTCACTGCAGTTAAAGGAGCTGTTGTATCAAGATCCAGAGGTCTTTATTTATCTTCCTTCTTTAACTAAGATCATAATCGGAAACCAAATTCTCAAGTTTGAAATTCCTCTTGCTCATAGAGCTTAGGCACTCCCAAGTTCAGATAATGGAGAGTTGTGGTGGGTTGAGAACCATAAAAAAATTGTAAAATTATGATGAATGCTCTTTGATGAGTTGAATTTATCCCAAAAAAAAAAAAGAATAAAAGAAGAAGCTCTTTCTAATGAGTTTATTAGGATGAGCTCTTCTGGACATGCTCTACATTGGCACTCAGGTATGGTTTGTTCCGGCAGATCGGGAACCTGAATCATGTTGTATAAGAAATGTTGATCTCCCATGTTTGTGGTCTCAACAGATATTCAAAGAAGTAGGCGACAATTGAGGAGGTTTAATGGAGACCGAAGTAGAGACCATCCTAAGAAGTCATCTTATATGGGCTTGATTAGAAGTGAAGGCTACAGTAGAGGAAATCCCAAGTTCTCTCGAGGTAGATTAAGAGGGATTTATCGACAGACTAGTGAAGGTTGAGGCTTTGGTGCTGGTCAAATATGCCCGGCGAGCTGAACAAGAAGCCAGGGCCTCTAGACTTTGCATAGTTTTAGAGGAGAGGCCAAGAATTACTGAGAAGATGGGACAGGTAGAAGCTGTAAAGCATGCATCAAATTTTAAAATAAGTGGTTGTGTTTCGTGTGCGGCGTGTGGGGTGGTTTTAAATAAGTTGGGTCTGGGTGAAGCAAAGATGACATTTTAGGCCTATCTGACCAACCTAACAAATATCTTTAGGAAGGGGATGAACTCCGAGGAAGGTCTGATGTTTTACAGTAGTAATCCCACATATTTTTGATCCTCTATTAGTCAAGATATATGCTAACCTCTCGAAAGAAAATCTCTCTAATCGACAGTGATATAGGAACAAAGAACATAGCCTAATCCCGTAGATAGCCTTCTACGGATTTCACAAAAATAACACGTAGGAGGAAGCAATTTTAATCTTACAACATGGGGAAGATACAGTTTATCTACTGTCCAAGGAGAAGGAAAACAATCAAATTGTTGAATATGATAAATCATGGCTTGGGAATTGCACAAATTGCATGACAAAGAGGGCAATGTGATTGTGAATAGAGATGAAATTTTTCCCTTTTAGCAGGGTGGTGAGCCCTAGCAACAGATTATTGAAATGGAAGCAATGTAGATTTTTCTTGTTGATAAACCAATCCCACTGGAAGTCAAATGGAGATGGCTAAAATGGGCGCGTTACATTGTTATCAAAATTCAAATGTGAAAAGCGCAAATAAGCTCTAAGGTCTGTTTGGGCTTTAATTGAAAAAACACAAATGGATAAAAATAATACAAATATATATGTTTAGTCCAAGTCTATTTGATAAACATGAATAACAAATATATTGACAAAGAAATTGATTTTATTTTACTATGAAGTGAAATATCAATTGTTTAGTTTCATCTCCAGGAAACGTCATTGTCAAGGAAATGTGTGTCTTCGTGCCTTGATGACTATACTAAAGCGCATATTTAGCGAGGTGAAGTGCTCAACATGTTTTGAGCTTCGATCTAGGTCTTATGACAACATGTCGCATCTCTATGGGTTTATAATAATGCGACGAAGATGAGCAAAACTTATGGGGTTGATTTTGAATGCTGTGAGAGGGAAGCTCTAACTTTGTTTCTAATGATAGACAGGATAAGACAAATAAAGAGAATTGAAGCTCCAATTTGTAGGACTCTGAGACCAGAAGGTAACAAAAGATTACAGACCTAATTTGTTATGTTAAGTTGGGGGCAATTGGGACCAGGACCAGCAGGAAGTCTGTTAGCAACATATCAAGATGAAGCAAAACCTGATTTCTTGGAATGTTGGGGGATTGAATGACTTGGCTAAAACAAGGACGGTGAAGCTTATGGTGTAGGAATGGAAAGGAGGAGTCAAACTGGAAGGGGAGTGGAAAGGATTGTTAAACTGGGCCAATAGATGGGTGCAATATGGTTGTTTAGAAATATGTGGTAGAAGCAGGACATCAGAGTAGTGAGAGGGGAGGTGATTAATATGATGAGTTACACAATTACATATAAAGTTACGTGAGTCTTGTAGAATATCTCCTGGCACCTTACAGGTGTCTGTGCCCCAAATGATTAAGGGTGCATATCAGGCGGTTCAATTGAATATTTGCGCTTAACGGTTAAGCTTGTCGGTTTTTAAAATGTATTAAACGGCTAATCGATCTGATAAGATACGGGTTTGTTCGATATTGGTTTAGCAGTTGAATCAAGAGGTACTTAAAGCTAGCTCATTATATTTTCTTCATGGTTAAACTCTGATGAAATTTAAGTCTTAAATTCAAGAAAAACCAGAGGATGATAGCGGCTTCAACTTTACCACAGTAATAGAACTGGAAAGAATCAAGTCAAATCAACGATAAACTTCTGAAACGATAGCAATGAGAGAATATTCATGTTTGCTTTACACAAAATTGAACACAAATAGGAATAATTGATCCGAGAGTGTAAACCATTTTTGTCTTTGTGGAGCCAACTGTTGTGTGACAAGGAATGAAGAGAAAATAAGTATAAGGTTTCAAAGGCCACTTTAAATTCATAGGGGAATATTTGTAAATTTAATAATTTTTAATGGGTTAACATGTAAACCATAAGGGAAGTGCGCAAATTGTACTCTGGTTAAACCATTAACTGTAAAATTTCAAACAGTTCCTCAACCGCTAATATGATAACCCGATACCAATAAGAAAGTAAGGCTATTTTGCAATTCGGAGTATTGGTTATGGTTCGGTTTTGAACAGCTCTACAGTTAATCAAAAAATGAGAATCCTCCCTATTGATTCACCTTTACCTGTTCGTAAACCAAGCACTTCTATAAGGTCTATGGAAAAGCAAAAAGCTTAAAGAGGTGCAGTTCATCCAAGATAAAAGGGAAATCGATATGGAAGATAAGATGAACTTTTCACATTTTTGAAGGGGATGAGATGAACTGTTATCTTTTGTTTCATTATTTGTGTAAACATTTTTTTTTCAATGAATCCCGTTACGAATAGGAAAGAATATCCTTTTAGTTCCTTTTAAGTACTTACTGCAACTTCTTCTTGCTATATTGTTATTACACTTGCAATTTTTCAGAAAAAACATGCAGTTCAGTGAAAATGTCTCCATCTGACTTTTTTTTTTTGTGATAAAATAGTTTCACTGATCGAATCAAGAAGATACAGTAGATACAAAAAGGAAATGTTAGCTCCGTTACATAAGAAAATTCTATCATAAGTTCAGGGAGCTTAAAGAATCTAGAAAATGATCAAAGGTTATTTACATAGGACAAGCTGCTCAAGCAAGTCAGGGATGATTTGGAGTTGAGATTCCATGTCTTTCCGTCCATACACACCAAAACATACCTGCAAATAACATTTGCCAGATCTTTTTCTTGATTTTCCAACTTCCATGAATTCCAGCTCACAAATGCATCTTTAGTAGTCTGTAGCATGGCCCAGTTGAGTCCAAATATTGAGAAGAACATGCAGTATAGGTCTGTTGCAACCCAGTTGAGTCCAAATATTGAGAAGAACATGCAGTATAGGTCTGTTGCAACTGTACAATGTTCAAATAGGTGCCTGATACTTTCTGAACTTTGTTGGCACATATAGCTCTCTTTCCAAGTTAGAAGCCCCTCTTGATGAGGTTGTCTTGAGTCAAACATGTGTCACTCAGCGGAAGCAAATAATTTTGGTTGGTATCTTTGTCTTTCATATTGCAACCAAGGTTATGGACTATTGATCAATAAAGTAGGTAGAGAACTATGAGCTCTCTTTCTCAAAAAAAATCAAAAACTATGAGCTCTCAGGTTCAAATTCCAGCTGATGCAAATCCACTTGGTGATTTCTTTTCATTTGTCCAAGCCTTGGTGGATAGAGTAACATGGTACTTTTACTGTGAGAGTAGCAGGTACCTGTGAAAATTGTCGAAGTGCGTGCAAGCTGCCTGGAACCCACTGTTATAGAAAATGAAGAAGAAGCTGTCTTTCATTTTAGTTTGCAGGGCCATGGCCATGAGTTAATAATCAGTTGACGAGCAAAAACATTGTATAACCTGATTTGATTTAATAGTTGTACAAACCATCTTTTTTTCTTTTCTAGGTAAAACTATGTCCTGTGCATCCATTTTGCTTCTTTCCAGTTTTAGCAAGTAAGCCTAGACTTTTGTTTAGTCTAAAGTTTTTTGGGAACTGCAAAACCAATCACCTCCAACTGCAATAATCTAATGAAAATGATCTCCCACCCCTTCTGTGGTTCCCCATTCGTTGGAGACACTGAATGACCTGCATGTCTATCCATCTTGAGTTGATAAACTGGGTTCAAAAGTATGCCATGAAAGATGTTACTTCATAATTTTGTTCGCACAGATGCCACTTAGAAGTGCAATATTTTTGAACATGTCAGCATTACTGCTTTTATGAGTATATAATTCCGTGTTGGTCTGATGTCTTCTTCGGCAACAAAAAATAATATTCCACTTAAATGCAAGTTATTCAAGACATTCTTGAATGATAGATGTTTTGAGAATGGTAACAGTTAATCTATATATCCACTGGTACACTACATCAAAACATGTAGTCCCCCTTCTAAAGTATTACAACTTACATCTTGAATATCTATTTGTGGTTCCTATGAATAGTCTAAAGCGTCAGAAATATCTTCTGTTTGAGCTATTAATTTATGTCTACACCAAAAATAAAGTAGAGCTAGACAATTTATTTTGAACTCCTGGAAGATGCTCTGCTTGTCTTCAAACATCTCCAATTTCTTCCTTTCCACACTGTCCACGAAGTGCATGCAATAGTTATGTAGTTTTCTTTCCATTGTTTCTCATTTACTTCTTCCTGGTTTTCATTGTTGATGGTTTTTCTTATGAACAGACACAGTTGAAAGTTGGCGCCGGAAAAAATTAAAAGAAGCCAGGGAGCTTGTTAATAGGAAGACATCAAATTCAACTATTGCCCCCGAGGAAGCTGGTAATTCTTTTACTTCTGACTTTATTTCTTTCCTTTATTTACGACTTTGTTTTCTGTTCATGTTAGAATCCCACAATTGCTGGGGAATGGACGGGTGGTCTGCTGATAGATTTTGGGGTTGAGTTAGACCCAAGTGCCTTATGCCGAGTTCACCCCGTTTGGGCTCCCATTCCATGCTCTAGTTGGGCTTGAGCATGAAGGGGGTGTTAGAGTCCTACATTGGTTGGGGAATGAACTGGTGGTCTACTTGTATAGACTTGGGCAATTCTCCCCTTAAAAGCTAGCTTTTGGGGTTGAGTTAGGCCCAAGTATCGTATCTTTACAGTTCACGCTTCCTATATCATCCTTACATTGATGTTAATCAGGACTTCTTCTTCCTAGTCCATAATCCATCTGTACTTTCACAAATTTATTTAATATCTTGCAGGTCTACTTGCACAAATTTTGGATGTTGACTGGGCTGAGCTGTCAGAAGAAATTGGTCTTTGGATACCTGTTGCAATAATTCATAAGGAACATCACGAAAAACCTGAGGGTGAAGAAGAATTTGGTAATGACATACATTTTTCAATCTAAATCATTTGAGTGTATTGTCTTGATTCGGAAGTATTTTTCACTTTATTCTCTATCTTAATTTCCCAATGGAAGTTTAGTTGTTCTGTGCATATTTTTTTATGAGTTGTTTTCTGCATAGAAGAAAAGGGCTACGTTTAATATTGTGGATAGATAGTATCTGCACTTAATATGTGCATAAGCACTGAAACATGAACTACTTTTTCTCACTATCTTGATCCTTTGTCATAAGAAACGCCTGAGAATAGTTTGTTTTGTTAAATTCTGATCCTCTACTTATGTTTTCCAGACAATGAAATCATAGCTGGCAGGCGGCTTCCTCCTGAGTGTAATGTTGAACTTCATACGGATTACGGTGGAGATGCAGTCAGATGGGGCCTTACCCACCCTAAGGAATCTGCATATGAGTGTTGCATGGCCTGTTTGAATCAAGCTAAGAACGCTGGACCTAATGACAAGAAATGCAACATATGGGTTTATTGCCCATCTGAGACCGGATGCTATTCTCCGGATATTTATCAACACAAAAATCAAGAATGCTGGCTGAAATATGTTAGTTCTCAGTGCCCTTCACTAACGATCATGTTGTACCGGATAGTTTAAGAATGCTGTTTCGCAGACTTAAGCTGTTCCTGATCACATCTTCCCTTTTATTTGCAGGCAGAGAAAGCTAAATCAAGTTTTAAGGACCGATATTCTGAGACATTCAGAAAGGCACACCCAAATGCACCAGTTGTTGTTCCATGGATGTCTGGTGTTGTCAGTGTATAAATTCCCACTAACAAAATAGACACTAAACCTTGATGCTTCCATTGTGTTACGGTGTCGTATAAGATCCCAAGTCAAGCCACTGTATGTTGAGATAATTGTGGAATGAGATTAATTGAACTGCAGCTTCTAAGCATAGCATAGCTGTTTCTCTCTCTCCCTCTGTTCTATCATGAAGAGGAACATAGAGCTTGGACCATTCTTTTGTATCACATGGTGGATAGAGTGGTAATGATAGCTTTAAGTTAGGAACTGACTACATATTTGAAAGCTTTTCATTTTTTATTTTTACCTACGTCTACCCCATCCATCCATCCTTTTTCACCTGATGGATGTAATATCCGAATTGTGCCCAAACATGTTTATTATTCTTTTTTGTTTTTATGCAATTTTTTTTCGTGTTTTCCATCTGATCATTGTTTCTTTTCCTTTTTTTTTTAGCTGATATTCATTGTGAAAGAGTATCCCTATTCCTTTTATGTCATTTTCATTAGTGTATTTGGAATCAAATATTCAGTGTAGATTCATTTATTTGGTATAGGAAAATGCATTAGTACATTCATCAATGTATCTGTGCATAGATAGGGAGAGCGAGGGGGGAGTTGACAAAAAGAGAGGGAGACAGAGAAAGGAGTGGATAGATGAGTGTGATTATCTCAAATTTAGTAGGTAGTTTAGTACTAAGGATTTGTTTCTAAATAAACATAAAAAGATGATAAAGGAGAGTGAAAATTCTATAGGAAAGAATACTGCCGGTAGACAACTTGAGAAGTCGACTTTGATATAAAGGTTAGAAATGGCTGCCATGGAAATTGTAGTGCAAACAAGATAGAGTAGAGTAAAAGGCGAGATGATCCTTTTTTCACATAAAAAATAGTCAGCAGTACATGCTATGCACTTCTGGAAGACAAAATAAGGTGAATTTACTATTTTGATCCTAATCTTACAGTTCAAGTCCTATTTGCTGTACAATTTACATTTACATTGCTTCTTCTACCACAGTTCGCCCGTCATTCCTAAATAAAGGTAATATAAAGCTTAATATAGAGAAGGTTATATATGACACCTCTCTATGACCTAACATGCCAATTCTTTTCTTATTTTTTTTTTCCATTTTTAATTCATAATGTACTAATTAATAGCTTAAGAAAAGCTTAACAGTAATCCTAATGGCTAACAATTATATATGTTAATTGTAAGCCCGCGTAATAATAACTTTCAATAAAGCACTTCACCCCTACGAAGTGACATTAACACATTATGCTAATTAATAGCTAGACCTTTGGCTTTTAATTTCTCCAGTTTTAATGTGTATTATCGTAACAAACGTAGGAGATAAAATGACAAAAGCCTAAACCTGAAAATTAAATGAAAGACATCAAATAAGTCTTGGTTTGATTTTTGGTGATAGATTGACCAAGAGCTGGTCAAATCCCCTTTAAAATGTAATTAAGTAAATTTTAGATCAAATTAACATTTTCAAAAACTTTTTAGTCTTTTATAGAATACAAAAGAACACATCATTTTTTTCAACTTTATAATTCTATCAAATCCATTTTTTTAAAAAAAGTAAATGAAAATAGGTTTTTCTCCTCTTCTTCTCCATATGTTCTCGCTTCTCTTCTTCTTCCTGTTTAGAAAATCTGAAAATTCGACTATCAAAACAAATATTCTCTTCCATTATCTTATCTTCCTTCTCATCTCCGGTCGTGACTCTCTCCTCTTTATGAACTGAAGATTGTGTTCGATTTAAAATGGGTAAGTCATTTTTCTGAGAGATTTTTACAATTTTTGAACAATACAAGGTTTTTTTCTTGGGTTAATGAAGAATAAATCGTTCTATAGATGTGAAAAATGAGTAATAGTGTAATGGTACCTATTATTTATTATTTTAGAAAGAAAATTAACAAACCCAAAAAGCCATAATTTTGAGAAAATATTTATGCAATGTTAACATTCAGTGAAAATTCATTTTTATTGTTTTTGTTATTCTTTTTGTGGCCATTTTGTTCATATGATTTAAGAAATATAGTTTTGTTCAGCTGTCCAACAAATATTTGAAGTGTAGGAGATTGAAAAAAAAATCTATTTCTCAATCACTATTTATAATTAATGAAAGAAAAAAATAATGACTACTCCTCTGTATCACACTCAAACTCAAAAAGCAAGGAGAACAAGAAGGAGAAAGGAGAAGGACCTAGATATGGAGAAGGAGATATTGAAAAAGAAGCGAAAGAGAAAGAGAAAAAAGTCGAAGTCAATTGTGATGTGAAGCAACAATTGATAAGTTGTATAAAACAATTCGTGAAGTGTTTATTTTTACTGATAATATTAGTGATTTTTGTTGTTGTTGAAACAAATGCAATTATGACGAAAAAGAAGAAATGTGGTGTATATGGCAACACATATAACATATGTCGTAATAAACACCACAAAATTATCACATGTGCCATAACAGAAAGGATATATGTGGCAACATATATAACCGTTGGTGTAAAAACCACCACAGAATTATCTATATGTGCCCCAACAGAAAGGATATAACTGACAACATATGTCACAGAAAGAAGATATGTGGCAACATGTCACATAAAGAAGATATGTGGCAACACATGTCATAGAAAGGAGATATGTGGTAACAAATGTCATAGAAAGGAGACATGTGCCAACATTTCATTGTTATCAATATGGTGTCTGTGGCAACATACCTTTGTTGTAAAACAAAACTATAGAATTAACTGCATGTACCCCAACAGAAAAGATATATGTGGCAACAGATGTCACACTATGAATTGTCAATTTTTTTTAAAACAATAAAATAAAAATGTCTAAAACAATCGTCCCTTCATTTTTCCTCTCTCCTCTCCTCTATAACAGGTCGTTTCGTTCATATTTCAAATTTAATTTATTTTTACTAATTTTCGTTTTCTTTTCTCTCTTTCCTTATTGATATGTTTTCTACAACATCAGTGATAATATGTTGCAATTTTCTTCTACAACAAAGCGTCGTTGCCCTCATCATTTTTAGCTCATCGTTGATATCTTCTAGGATAAAATTTAATAGTTATTGGTATTAAATCAGGACGTTTGAAGTGATTTTTATCACTTATATGTTTGAAAGATGGTTGAGTTGTTATTCATTTTGAAATATTACCTGATTAGAAAAAATATTTTAGGATGTACATATTGCCATATAAGACATGTCTGTTGCAATTTTTTCAACAGAACGTACATATGTTGTCACATATGTCACTTCAAGATTGACTTAATCGATAAATTGAGTGATTTAGGAATAAAAAATGTCAAATTGAATCAAATTTTAGTACTTTGGACCATAATCAAAGAATAAAAATATATTATAACACTTGGAACAACAATTTACATGAGTGTTATATAACCATCATAAAAAGTTTACTTGGTCATTGTATGATGAACTAGTGATATGATAGTCTTTGTAAAAATAATTGATAAAATTGATGAAAGTTGTTGTATTTTTAGACCACATTTTTATGCTTAGATATGTTGTATGACTATATATTAGTGTTACATGTTGAATTAGGTGACAATTTAATTGAATTATATGATACACATATATTGCCACATATGACATGTCTGTTGCAATTTGTCCAACAGGACATGCATATGTTGCCACGTATGTCACTTCAAGAATGGGTTAATCTATAAATTGAATGATTTAGGAATGAAAAAATGTCAAATTGGATAAAACTGTAGTACTTTGGACCATAGTTAAGTAATAAAAATATGCTATAACACTTGAAACAACGATTTACAAGGGTGTTATATAACTATCATATGAAGTTACTTACTCATTGTATGATGAACTAGTGATATGATAATCTTTGTAAAATTAATTGATAGAATTGAAGAAGGTTGTTATATTAGACTATAATTTTGTTCTTAGACATGTTGTAGGACTATATATTAGTGTTACATGTTGAATTAGGTGACAATTTAATTGAATTAACCCCTCAAAGACCATTTTATGATATAGATATGTTGCCACATATGACATGTCTATTGCAATTTTTCCAATGGGACAGGCATATGTTGCCACGCATGTTACTTCAAGAATGATTTAATCCATAAATTGAATGATTTAGGAATGGAGAAATATCGAATTGGATCAAATTTAGTACTTTGGACCATAGTTAGGTAATAAAAATATGTTATAACAGTTGAAACAACGATTTACACGGGTGTTATATAACTATCATATGAAGTTACTTACTCATTGTATGATGAACTAGTGATATGATAATCTTTGTAAAAATAATTGATAGAATTGAAGAAAGTTGTTATATTAGACTATAATTTTGTTCTTAGACATGTTGAATGACTATATATTAGTGTTACATGTTGAATTAGGTGACAATATAATTGAATTAACCCCTCAAAGACCATTTTATGATATACATATGTTGTCATATATGACATTTCTGTTGCAATTTTTCCAACAGAACGTGCATATGTTGTTACATATGTCATTTCAATGATGGATTAATCAATAAATTGAGCAATTTAGAAAGAAAAATGTTGAATTGGACCAAATTTTAGTACTTTGAACCATAAATTATGCAATAAAAATATGTTATAACACTTAAAACAATGATTTATAAGGGTGTTATATAACTATCATATATAATGATTGGTCATTGTATGATGAACTAAGGGTATGATAGTCTTTGTATAAGCAATTGATAGAATTGATGAATGTTGTGGTATTAGATCATAATTTTGTACATAGACATGTTGTAGGACTATATATTAGTATTACATGTTGAATTAGACAACAATTAAATTGAATTAACCCCCAACTATCATTTTATAATATACATATATTGCCACATATAACATTTTTGTTGCAATTTTCCCAACAGAATGTGCATATGTTACCACATATGTCACTTCAAGAATGACTTAATCGGTAAATTGAGCGATTTATGAATGAAAAAATGTCAAATTGGACCAAATTTTAGTACTTTGAACCATTATTAAGCAATAAAAATATGATATAGTACTTGAAACAATGATTTACAAGGGTATTATATAACTTTCATGTCAGTTGCGACATGTAAGTCATATGTTGCCACATGTCTGTTAGGATCGAATTCACGCACACACACTAGATGAATGAAGAACACAAGAACTTTCAAGAGAAAGAGATGAGAGATCTAGAGAGAGAAAGAGAAAACCCAATATTTTGTGGTAACACTCCGTGAGTAAACTTCCACGGCCGTGAAGTATATTTATATTAATAAATCAGAGTATTTTTGATTACAGAGAATAAATAAATAATAAATAGGAAAGCCTAAAATAGAAAATAAATAGGAAAGCCTAAAATAGAGAATAAATAGGAAAGCCTAAAATTAATTAGGCTCCACTACTTAACAAT